GACTGAGGCCAGCTTGGAATCCAACCAGCAGGTTCCTGATGCTGCAGGCTCAGTGATCCTCCCCTTCCCCTCCTGCTTTCCCCTGATTCAACAGAATTTACAGCAGCTGAACTCCATGGAAATTCTTGTTTCACATGGGATGACCAGGAGGCACAGACTCAGGAAGAGCAAGCCTGAAACTCCCCTCTCTGGGCAGCCAAATGTGCTGGCAGTGACTGGGTTTAGATCTGTCTGTAGGTAGTGTATTGATGGGGAAAGTGCTGTGTATATGCTTGTTTGTTTGCAAAAAAGGTTAAAAAAAAAATTCTATTAAAATCCTGCACCTCTGGGACTGTCTTTGAAAGGCATGTGATGTGACTCCAGGAGAGAAGTGATCAGCCTGCAATAATTTAGATGTTCCTGTTGCTATGGATACTTTCTTTAAGTGAAGCATACCATTATAATTTAAATTTCCAGTAACAAAGAGGAAAAAAAAAGAGAGCATATTAAAAGTAGTAAAAAATGCCAGAGACATAACTGTTTTATTCTTTGCTGTCAGTTTTACTTGTGCTGTGACAGCGTATAGAAGTGATAAAATTGCCACATCTGAGCAGATTTAGTGCTTTTACACATTTTATTACATTAATTAGACCTGAGGCTCGTATGTATGAGTGTGTGATAGAGGCAATAGCCAAGTGACAGGCTGGGTGCTGGGATGTCACATTAAAAGCAGGGGAAGGAGGAGGGTTGTAGCTAAAACAAGACCTGACAAGCAGCAAGTTTGGGGGGGGTTGTTACAGCAAGATCAGCGGAGGGAGTTGGAAACACAAAGGTACAAGCCAAATAACTCCCTGCAAAGTATCACCATCAAGGCTTTTAAGCCAAAACTTTGCCTGGAGTGGTGTTGCCATCCGTGGGATTGCAGCAGCCGAGACAGAAACTGCTGCTGTGGTTTGCAGGGAAGACTCTCGTGGGGAGGTTGGAGTTTTTTGCTGGGCGAGAAATTGCTGATGGTGATGGCTGGAAAGGTGAAATAAAAACAAACAAACAAAACTTTGGAGGCAGAAAGTGAGAGATTTGGAGAGGAATTTGCAGAGTGGCTGGTTTGAAAGGAGGGGAGTTAAAATCCCCCTGGGCATCCCCCCCCTGTATGGCCGGAGAGACGATGGCTTGGTGATTCCAAAGTGGAAACCGTGATGGCAAAAGTTTGGGGCAAACAAGGTGCCTGGGGAATAAACTGCTACCCAAACACTGCTTTTCCTCACATCATAGCTCAAAAGACCTGCGTGCCAAGGAAGAGCAGGCAGCAGAATCCCTGCTTGGCCACAGCCTGATGTGGGTGGCTGTTTTATTCCAGTTGTGACCAGCAATGTGGTTCCCACCCCCTTCCCTCAGCCAGGACAGGAGCCTTGGCCTGAGCCCGTGGGCTTTAAAGCCAAGCTTTTAAAAATCCATATTTTTCCCTCCTCGCTTCTCTTTTCCAAGCTGAGAGCAGCAGCTGGGTGAGTGATAAATCACAGGAGCCAGCAGGGATTTCAGAGCCAAACCTCGACGGGGTCGATGTTCCCAACCTGCCTCTCCTGATCCTTCCTTTCGCAGGGAGGGGAGCACGGTGGCCCTGATGACGTTGGTGAGAATCACCTGGCTCCTGGAAAGGAAAAGTGGAGAGAGGGAAGGGCTGGGAGGTGACAGGGTCCCTGCCCAGTGCTCCCACGCTGGGTTGGCTGGCACAGCCCAGCCCCTGTGGGGCTTCCAAAGGCCACGCCACAGGGAACCAGGAGCGAGCCCTCAGCTGCAAAGACACGTCTGTGCTCACAGCCCAGGCCAACAGCTTGCCAGCAGGGCAGTGCCCCAGGAGAGGCTGGGAGCTGCCAAAGGTGAGTGGTGCCAGCCCCAGGCTCCAGAGCCCTGCTCAGACACGCTGGCCACGGGCCAGCAGCGGCGCGTGGCCCCGACAGCAGAGCTCCTAATCCGCTTCCCGGGCAGAGCTGAGGGTCCCTCTGGCTCTGCTGGGCAGGAGCTGCTGTGCTGGGAGCTGCTCCAGAGCCAGGAGTGAGGAGGAGTCTCTACCAACGAAGATCAGAGCCCAGCAGGGACAGGACCAAGTGTGTGTCCAGCGTGAGAGGCTGGTGGCACTTAATTAACCAGGCACTCGGTCACTAATTACCTTCTACCTGCACATTACCCTGTGCAACTGCCTCCAGTCTTCCTGCACTTACTACATCTGCTGTCTTGGCTCCAGCTCTCTGGCCCCATTTCCACTCCCACCTCAGAAGACTTCCTCTTCCTGCAGCTCTTAATGACTTGACATCCCTCCTTTTTGTAAAGCCAATGTTCCTCCTCGGAGCCAGGAACCAGCTGGAGATGTCTGCTTTTAGCAGGGAAGAAAAATAACAACCAACTCCCAGCAATCCCCAATGCTCTCTCCCGTTGTCCTTCCCCTGAGCATCAGAGGAGAGGTGCTAAATAAATGAAGTAATGCAATATTAAGACTCCCTCTGTCATAAGCAGAATCCACTCACTCCTGATAAACTGCTCGCAGTCAGATGCCGGCAGAATCATGGAATATCCTGGGCTGGAAGGGACCCACAAGGATCATCAAATCCAAATCCTGGCCCTGCACAGACACCCCAACAATCCCACCCTGGGCCTGAGAGCCTTGTCCAAACACCCCTTGAGCTCTGGCAGCCTTGGGGCCATGACCTGGGGAGCCTGGGGTGGGTGGGACAGATGGTCAGCAGGATTTAGGGGCATAAAAGTTAAGGAAGGGGGCATAAAAAAGTTAATTTTTGACCAGTTTACAGATTTTTGGCACTGAAATTATGGCTTTTCTCAGAGGGAGATGCTTTCACATGCAGAAGGGGGTTGGCAGAGCAACCCCTCACCCCTCATTCGTGCAGACCAAGGGTGGCTGTGCTGTGGGATCACTCCTGCACTGAGCACTTCAAACCTGGGGAGAAGTTCAAAAGCAGAGGCAGAGACACACACACACAAAATACCCCTCCAGCACTGCGTGCTGACCCGTGGTGAGCTCCTCCTGAGCCAGCCCTGCCCTGGGCTGTTGGCAAACACTGCCTGTGTTTTCTGGTTCAGCTCCCCTTGGCTTCCACAGGACAAATCTCATCTTCGCAGGCAGCCGGCACGCAAGGCTGACGTGTCAGAGGGGGACAGCAGTGCTCAATCAACACCCCCCTTTCCCACCCAATCCCCCCTCCATCCCCAGCCAAAAGGCACTTGTGCTTCTCCACAAGGACTGTTATTTCTTGCTGCAGAGCACAGGAAGCCTCGCAGGGCAGCCCAGGGCTGGCTGTAAGAGCCACAACGCAGCATTCAGGTGTTCAGATGAAAGGTGACTCTATTTGTGCGTGGAAAAAAGGACAATTTGGGGGAACCACAGCTCTGCAGCTTTTGCTCAAGCTTGGCACGAAGCTACAAACCCTCTTGGTGCTCCGAGGAGAGGAGAGAGGTTCAGGGCTCGGTACCTGTCACACTGCACACCCTCGTGCTCCACAGCTCAGCACTTCCCTGAAGCAGCTGGTTTGCAACCTTCCAGCTGGGTTTGGCCTCGACTCACAGAACAACAGCCATCATTCAAGAGCCCTCGTTGAGCAGAGGAAACAGCAACACTTGATAAAACTTAACATCTCCACCTAAACCCAGCCTGCAACTTGGCAGCAGCAAGCTGGGTTCACTGTTGCACTTTTGGGGATGCTCTGAAGGAGTTTAACAAGTTGCAGCACCCAGCACTTAAAACATCAAGCCCCAAAGCAGCACGTGGCTGGTGCGAGCTGCAGGTTCTGCTTCCTTAGAGGTGATTTGAGAGGGAGGCTGCAGACGGGCTCTCTGTCAGCTCCCCCGCCCACGCTGGCTACCGGCTGTGGGATGGATGGAGCTGTTCCATCCCGTCCACACCCCGTGCCAGCACAGGGTGACAGACCAGCCTTTCACAGCACAGCCCACGCCAACACCTCTGCTGCTGCTGCGGCTGCTGCGAGGGAGGGAACGGGCAGCAGGATCCCTCCATGTGCCCCCTGGAAAAACACGGGGCTGAGGGGAGAGGAGCCACCAGCTCCCCCAGCCCACCTGAGCACCCCCTCCCTCTCTCGCAGCCATCAGAGGGGAAGGAAATGGATGCTGAAAGTTTCTTAACCGGCAGTTAAAAAAAGGTCACATGCGAACGGAAAGATCAATTTGTTCCTCAGCACCGCCATCAGTTATGCATGAAGGCACAGGCTGCCAGTGCTCAGCACTCGTAATCTGGGACAGCTCACCCTGGAACAGGCAATCTAAACTGAAAAATGAACTTTTAGTCCTTTTTTTTTTTGTCAGCACTGTGGGATGAGAGGTGTCTCTGCAAAGCTCCACCCGCAGCCCCACTCCAATACCCCAGAGTGGGTGGCAGGTTAAACCTGTCAGCACCCCAGATGGGTTTCCCAATGCATTTCCCAGACAAGGTTGGCAGCCTGGTTGGCTGGGAAGTGCAGGAGCCCAGCAAAGGCAGGAATTGCAAAGGGATGCTGAGCACACAGGGCTGTGCTGGGCTCTCCAGGCTGTTTTTATTTAAAAGGCAGCTGTACAAATTCAGCTCCCCCCCAGGGAGAAGCACTTTGTGACTCAGAAATTCTATAAATTAAAGAGATTTTGGGGGTTTGATGCTACTGGCATCACGTTTTTCTGCAGATGAGCCTGAAGCACTGACCTCCCTCTCCTCACCCATCACCACCCCCTTACCTGGAGGCCAATGCAGGGACAGACTGTGCATCCCTCTGTGCATCCCAGGGGGCAACATCCAGTCCCATAAGCATTTCCTGGAAGCAGAACCACGGACTAGTGTCTGACTGCAGCCCTCTTCCCACCTGGATGGCACTGGAATCAGCTGTCCAACAGACACACACCTCCTAAGGATGTTTCCAATCACTTCCTGCTGTGCATCAAGAGACAGGGAGAACTTAACCAGAAATACAAAGGCTTCTACACATTAAAAGGACCCATGTAAAAATAAAGTCACCCAGCACAGACGCTCCAAAAAAAATGGTAGAGCTTTTATTTCCCTCGGTACAGATTTTTCTTTACAGCATCAGGTTTTCTTAAAAAACTATATACACACATATATAGTGTTGTGCACTTCGGTATCTGCTCCTGGAGTCTCTAGAAAAGGAGAAAGATCAATGTACAAAGAAATCCTCACAGTCCATCCTACAGCTCAGGCTGTTTTCTGGGAAGATCAGAACTCCTTGAGTCGGGACAAGGCACTGGCTGCAACCCCTGCCTGTGCAGGAGGTTCATGTCTCTCCCCTGTGCCTCTGCAGCAGGGACAAGCTTTGATAGCTCCTTCAATCACAAGAGGCTGGTGCTGCACACAGGATCAAGGAAGTCATGGGCACAGTCGTCTGAAGATGTAAAATTGCTTTAAACCCCGTTTTGCAGGATACACAGAGCACACGTTTTATTAAGAGACATGATGAGTCAGCTCCACGAGTCCTCGACACCTTCTCACTCTAACACTTAGGAGGGGAAAAAAAAAAATCTCAAATCTAAGTCAGAGTCACTCAGCTGCTTCCTAATGAATTCTTACAGCTGACAGAGAGGGTTTTTTTTTTTTCCTGCGAGCAGTTTTAAGGGAGTTATGAAGAGCTATCTGGGGAATGAATTAGTGCTTCAAACCCAAGTTACAAATCTATAAAACAGATTAGTATACTTCACATAAGGCCACAAACACTGCAAACTGTCAGTGTGACTATTTAGGATCATTAAACTTAATCTTTTAATTAGCATAAGCTTTATACCTCCATTACTTATTTTCAGTTCCAGGAGCAGATGAAGCAGCTTCCTGAGCCTCCTGGGAGCTGTGGCTGTCAGGGAGCAGGGGATCCAAGTACCTGGAAGGGGCACCTCTTGCTAACTGAACATCCAGGTATTGGTCTTGCCCAATCCAATTCCATTGGAGTCCATTGAGTGAGCAACAACCAAATGGTTTTGAGGCAGTAAGAAGTCATGGACAGGCAAATCCACTCAGCCAGGCTGAGAACACAGACCTATCCTGCTGCTGGTCCACCCAAGCTGCCACTTCCAACACGCTTTAGCAGAACAAATCATTCCTCCTTGGTGGTTTTGCTTTCAAAGCCAACAGTGCAAAGGAGCTTCAGTATTTTGAGTCGCATCAGAGATGGTGGACATGAGGAATCAGCTTTGAAACAGAGCTGCAGCATTGCCAGGTTGGGTTATTTTTGGGTAAATAGCTTCTGAAGAGAAAATACAGGCACTGCTTACCTTGACAACTCGGACCATTGCTTTCAGTTCAAGTTTTAAAGTGCAAAACTTCGCAGAGTCTTTGGGTAAAAAAAGTGTCAATTCCCACAGGGAGCTGGTGAAGAAATGGCCAGAACCCACAGGGGTGATTGACAACTGTGAGAGTGTCACAGACATTCATACAAAAGCAAGATCTCTGCCACCTCTTTGATTTAACACTGTCAGCAGCTGCTGCAAATCTCCTCCCCTCGCCCAGGCAGGTGACGTGTTGTTCAAGAATCAGTGGATTAGTAACAGTTGTGCTTGGAATTGCATTTGCATCTGCAGACCTTTGTCTAGAGGACACACACAGAGGGACTTTGGTGGTGCACAGTCTGTTTTCAGAGAGCAACAGGCACTGCTGAAGGTTCTCCCATGGTATTATTGCCACGTAACACTGGAGATGCTCTCCACGCCTTCCAATAACACATGTAAACGGTAATGGCTGGGAATAAATATGTTCAAGAGCATCTCGTGGTTCAGATAAAAACAAGGTATAAAAATCTGCATCAGGTTTCTAAAGCTTTGGTCTAAACTGTGCTGTAACATCACCTGACCTGGCGAAGAGCCCTTAGAAGAGTCCCTTGTGTACAGCACCTGCAACAGCACGATCCAGTCCAGAGACTTTTAGTGGTTATTCTCTAGTCAGCTTTTAGATGCATTTGACCTCAGAACATGAACAGATCATCCTTCTCGCCTGTGGTGGAATCTATTTTGTTCCAGTCTACAGGGGAGAGCGTTTCTGCACTCTGGATGTCCTGAGCTGTCAGCCCCGTGTCGAGGACGTGAGGGTTTGTTCTTGACTGAGCCAACCTAAGGGGGGAGAAAAACACAAAGTAAGAACCCAAATCCTGCTGGTTTATAGCCCGGATGCCTGATGCATCCATAACACTGCAGCTCCACATTTCAACACCCTCCAAGGGAATTAAGTGGTTTGGGAAGGGGGGAGCTGGCACAGAACATTTGCAGCGCTCTCGAGTCCGTCGCAGCTTTGCTGCTGGTTTGTCCCAGCGTTTCCCCTGCAGGCATCCAGGGAATTTGCAGTCTGGACATCCCATATATTAACAGCCTGGCTGTTTTCCTCCCCGGAGCTATGGCTGGGATCTGATCTCTGCTGCCCAAAGGAGCAGCCTGGGTGCAGTGACTCAGTGTCCTGGCGCTGTGTCTGGACAGGCAGCGTGTGCTGCAGCTCTGCCCGAGCATTAACCCCTCGGGTTAAGACACAGAGGACTCAGCTGATGTTTAACAGCTCCCAGGAACAGCTTTAGGAGCTTTTCATCCCAGATGTTTCGCCAAAACCTAACGAGCCCCAGTTTGTTGTTGTGTTATTAAATACCTCTGTGAAAAATGCAGCAGTGCAGCATCAATTCTCCCCGGGCTGAAGGTTAACTCAAATATTTGGTGTTTCATCAAAAAAAAGCCTCAGATTAAGCCACGTTTTTTAATAAAGAAGAAAAATGTCCAGGGATGATGATGATGATGATGTGGCAGGAATGCTTCTGGAAGCACCCGCCTTGGAGGATGAGCAGCCCAAACACTGAGTCACTACCACAAGGCCGAGGGTGATGTGACAGCTCAGGATCCAGCAGCCCAAAAACAAAGCCCACAACCAACAACATCTGCTTCATTAAGTAGGGCAAGGAGCAGGGGTTGAGGAAAACAGCCAACATCAGGATGCAAATTGAAGCAGCCCCTTTATCAGCCACATCTTGGGACAAGGCTGCTGTGGAAGTGGAAGCTGTAAATCATCCCCCAGAGCCAAACAAGACCCAGAGGGCTGTTTCCTTAGGGCTGAGCAGGCAGTTTTGCAGTGCTGCAGATGGCTCTCAGGGAAGGGACAGTGTTGGGTCAGCCCTGCTCCTGCCCAACTCCTTCCTCCAGCACCTCCCAGCCAGAAGAGGAGGAGGAGGAGGAGACCTGGCAGCTCCCTGCTGCCTCTGGCATCTGCACCCAGGGCAGATTTGCCCCAACTGGGGCCTCCACATCTCATGGTGGCCAGGTGGCTTCACACACTGACCTGGAGGAGGAGACCCTAATAAACTACACCATTCCCACCACCCCACAGGGTGGTCCCCACATGAAAACAAGCAGGAAAACCCACCTGAAAGGAAATGGATTTGTTTAACATTGCTGTTCTGCTCGGCATGCACGTGCAGGGAAGCTTTTAATTTGGATTAGAAAGAGAACTAAACCCCTTGAATCAATGGCCACACACTCTGAATCTGTGAGCCAAGGAAGAGCAAAGCCCCCCGTGCCAAAGCTGGGACCAGCATCACAGGCAGCCTGGAAAAGCCTTGGCAAGGGGGAGCAGACACACCAACTGCTTGGGGAATTAAATTCCCTATCACACACAGCCTCTCTCCACCCTTAAAAGGTTGTCAAAATATTTGGCTTATCAGCCAGCCTCAAAGCCTATCTTTCAATTACCAGCTGAGGCACTGATGGGGCAGCTGCCTAGGTCAGATCATGGCACTGATTAGATGAGGAACATTATTAAAAGCCAGTCACCAGTCAAGTCTCTGGGGCTGGTCCCCAGTGGTGGAGTGAACTAGTAAAGGGAGTTATGAGAATTACCTTGAAAACGCCTCGTCGAGACCATCATCCATTTCCTTTGTTAAAGAGATAAAAAGAGAGACAAGTAGTTGCTAAGAGAGCACACAAAAGTGTATTTAGAGGTCTGGCTCTGCACTTGAGCACTGGCAGACAAAAAATGTATGTGCATATTGGCTTCTGAGTGCCCAAATCAACCCTCCTCTGCAATCTGCCTCCTAGGGCAGGTTTTAGCTCTCTCTCTCTGCACAAGCCCCAGGGTAAGAGGTGCAACTCTGGGTGGTCCAGGCTTCCTCCAGGCAGATCCCAGAGCTTGGGTCAGGGATGCTGTGCTCCTCCCACAGCCCGGGGTAGGGCCTTTTCCCCATCACCCCCAAACAGGCTGATACTGCCCCACTGCCTGTGTGCCCTGGATCTGACCCATCAGCTGGAGCACAAGCCCCTCTGGAGTCAAAGCCAGCCCTTGGCTCCTCCAGCTCTCCCATGGAACTGGCACGGGCTGCGAGTTTCTACCATGAGGACAGAGCTCAGTGAGATGCTCCAGGCATCCCTGGAGCTTTTCTGGATCAGGAACCGGATCAGCAGCTCTGCACCAGCACAGGGGGGACCCTGAAAGCAGCTCTGGGACCCTTTATCTCTGATCTGCTCTTAAGGTTTTCCAGGGAAAGCACTGGAGTTGCTTGAAGGGAGGAAAGGCTTCCCATGTAGGACCGTGGGCTCTGTGTGAGGGCTTTGCTACAGACAGGCTGGACTGCTCCCAAAATCCTGTGATGCACTTACAGACTTAATGCAATTAATAAGTAAAGTATGAAAACTCTGTAAGTAGGGAAGGATTGGAGATTGCTGATAAGCCTCCAGGATTTGATTTAAGCTTAGAGCTGATCTTCAGGTTTAACCTGAAAAGCCTCAGGCTCAGGCCCGCCAGACTCAAGGAACAGGCCCCAGGCAAAGGAATTTATCCTTCAATTCTCCAAAATTCAGCAGAACAGGGGTTTCCAGAGAGGGCACAGGTTGGTGATCACAGAATGGTTTGGGTTGGAAGGGACCTTAAAGATCATCTTGTCCCAACCC